TATCACCCTCTGATATATGTACTTAAATTGAAAATTCATTTTGAGTGTGAATACATTTTTGCCTGAAACACATACACAATGGATCTGCAGTTTTAAAGTGAGTGCAGTTTTAAAAAGAATATGTGTATATTGTGTGAGACATATTAGTGTATGTAATGTGTCTGCTGTATGTATATGTTGGTGTAACATATGCTTGATGTATATATATATATGTGTAATGTAATAACTGCAGAATATCAGTTTGATGTTTCCTTTTTCATCTACATTTGATGCCATTCTATTTCTTACCATTTTTCATTTCACCGGGCTCTATGTCCTGTTTCTTTTACTCTGGGCTTTTCTTTCAACCAGTCTCTCTCAAATTCTCATGTACGTACTTCCATGTACAATAACAAAAGAAATGATCCGTCTATAATTTTAATGGTAGGTGTATTTTAACAGTGAGAGATAGAATAACCATAAATAAAATCCAGAAAAATGCATGTCAAAAAAGGTAGGAATTGATTTGCATGTCAATGAGTGAAATAAGTATTTGACCCCTTCAACTTAGTACTTGGTGGCAAAACCATTGTTGGCAATCACAGAGATCAGACGTTTCTTGTAGTTGGCCACCAGGTTTGCACACATCTCAGGAGGGATATTGTCCCACTCTTCTTTGCAGATCCTCTCCAAGTCATTAAGGTTTCGAGGCTGACGTTTTGCAACTCGAACCTTCAGCTCCCTCCACAGATTTTCTATGGGATTAAGGTCTGGAGACTGGCATGGCCACTCCAGGACCTTAATGTGCTTCTTCTTGAGTCACCCCTTTGTTGCCTTGGCTGTGTGTTTGGGGTCACTGTCACCCATTTTCAATGTCCTAGCTGAGGGAAGGAGGTTCTCACCCAAGATTTGACGGTACATGGCCCTGTCCATCGTCCCTTTGATGCAGTGCAGTTGTCCTGTCCCCTTAGCAGAAAAACACCCCCAAAGCATAATGTTTACACCTCCATGTTTGACGGTGGAGATGGTGTTTTTGGGGTCATAGGCAGCATTGAGTTGATGCCAAAGAGCTCAATTTTGGTCTCATCTGACCACAACAATTCTGACCCAATTCTCCTCTTAATCATTCAGATGTTCAAGCCTGTACATGTGCTTTCTTGAGCATAGGGACATTGCGGGCGCTGCAGGATTTCAGTCCTTCACGGCGTAGTGTGTTATCAATTGTTTTCTTGGTGACTATGGTCCCAGCTGCCTTGAGATCATTAACAAGATCCTCCCATGTAGTTCTGGGCTGATTCCTCATGATCATTGAAACTCTACGAGGTGAGATCTTGCATGGAGCACCAGACCGAGGGAGACTGACAGTTATTTTGTGTTTCTTCCATTTGCGAAAAATAGCACCAACTGTTGTCACCTTCTCACCAAGGTGCTTGGAAATGGTCTTGTAGCCCATTCCAGCCTTGTGTAGGTCTGCAATCTTGACCCTGACATCCTTGGACAACTCTTTGTTCTTGGCCATAATGGAGAGTTTGGAATCTGATTGACTGATTGCTTCTGCGGACAGGTGTCTTTTATACAGGTAACAAGCTGAGATTAGGAGCACTCCCTTTAATTGTACTTCACACTTGCAATTTATATTGAGCTTGTCTCAACTTCTCACCCAATGCAGCCCATTTGGCTTGCTACTCAAACACTGCAGCTCACCCAGAGCTCATCCAGGAGGAGAGGCAGTAGCCAGCTGCAAGATTAACAGGTTAGTCAGTCAAGTGGGCCAATTACAATAGTATGGGCCTGAAGCTGGAGCTCCTCCTGAATCTATGTTAATGTAGCCCTGCACTGAGGCTATGTCCTTGGGGCATTAGAGGAGACATTGGCGGCACAGGAGGTAGGGAGCATGTGTTCTGCACCTCTGGCGGGTGCAGAACATTTTGAATGCCAGAATCAGATCAGTGCATTACCGTGACAATGCTCTGACACATTCTCTCCCTGTCACCCAACACACACCCTATCACAGCCCCCCTACACCCTGCCACCCCACACACACCTTATCACAACCCCCCCACACACTGTCACCTCACGCACACCCTTTCACAGCCCTCCCACTCTGTCACAGCCCACAAACACACACTGTCACTCCTCCACACATACCCTGTCACAGCCTATCCACCCTGTCACCCCATAAATACCCAGTCACAGCCCCCCTCTGTGCATAGGTGTGTTTGTGCATATACGTGTATTAGAGTGTGTATATGTGTGCATGCATTAGTGTGTTTGTGTTTATGGCTGTAATGTGAGGGTGTTTTGGTATGGGCAATGCAAAGGTAAAGTGGCAACACATATAATATATAATATGCATACCTATGCAATACATGGGACAACACATATATATTATATTGGATAATGTATTTGTGACAGTATTATAGAATATGTGGTGAAAATGTCTGACACTGTTTTCTTATTTGCAACTTTATTATTTAATAAATGATTTTATAAAAGCTTTTTTTGCTCAACCAAAATTTTCATTTTTGATTCCAATAACCCCTTCACACCGGCACTTATGTTTGCACGACTGCCAGGCTATGTAACCACACCCTGCAATCGTGTATAAATGATTAGCATAATTGCTTAATGAATTTGTTTATTGCAAATTAATTTAGTTTGCAAATGATGCCATAACTACAGTCAGAGAGTTCACAATGCAGCTCCACAGGGAGCCACAACACTGCAAGACACTGAACAATGAATACAGAGACTAGCTCTCGCCATTCAGCACTTTAAGCCCGTACATCAATATAACCACAGCTCCGTATGCACACAATGCAACCCCTAGTAATTTTTTCACTTAGGGTGTTAGCCAGGCCTTCATGTTTGAGTTTTGCTTAAGGCCTCACAAAGTCTAGAGCCGCCACTGGGGGAGGGGCATAGCACTTCAAATTACCGAACAACCACACAAACCAGACACCACCCTGGAGCTTGTTAACACCTATTAACGACTTAGAACGTTTCTCACCGCAGTGTTCTAATTGTTCGTCTGGGTGGCCGCAATTCCTATGGACAATCACGAGGTGGCAGCTATCTTGTTTGCATGAACGCAGGCAGCTGTGTTTGGGCATGAATCTCCTTGAACTAAAATCGAATACAGAAACTCCCGAAACACCGCTGGACTTCCATCATCACCTGCATTCGATTCTATTAAACTTAGAAGGGCACTGTTCGGTGAGATCATTCATCTGGATGAGTGGAACAGGCTCCAGGGTAAGACTATTTCGGTAGTTTGTTCATTTCAAACTACCGAACTAGACCGACCACAAGCCCTGATTCTCTGGAACTGTTTTGGGCATGGGATCATGCATCCGGTCAGTCAAATAAATGACTTCCATAGAATTCCTAAACCCCTTAACTGATCTGGGTGATTTTTGGGTATGTTGGTCACCCCGATCAGAGCTATCAGGAGATGTAACATTTGTAGGGATTTTATGTGTTTTTGGGGTACTTTTGGGGTTTTAGAAATATGTGTTTTTTTCTGCCTGGAGATAATTGAGTGAATACAGTATCTGACTCAATTATCTCCCAGGCAGAGGGGATGGATTGTATGCTGTGTGTAGGAGTGTCATGCCTTGTAACCTTATTGTTATTGGTCTGTTACGTTGTTACGCCTCGTCTCATGTGCGGAGGGGACAGCTATATTCCCTCAGGGGATTGCTATACTCCTTATACTCCCCTGGGTTCAAATCACTAGCTCTTATAAGAGCTTTTCCTGCTATACTCTCGAGAGTAGGAGAGGTTCACCCACTGGAAGCTGGATCCTGGTCTTGGATCCAGAGTGGGTGGAGGACGGCGAGACCCCAACCAAGCTGTGGTGTAGAAGGGGCTACAGTGCTTATGATGTCTGGTGGAGTGCTTGGAGTCCTCGGTGAGCACTAGGAGCATCAATTGACAGAGGCACCCGGTTGCCAGGCGGTCCGTCACACCTGTAATCTTCTGAAAAATAATAAACTCTGATATACAAAAAATATGTATATTATAAGGAGATTTATATGTGTGTGAAAGGTCACAAAAGGGGGGTTAAATTAGGATATCAGGCCTTCAGTGTGCAGTATCAATCCCTGAAAATGAGAATGATTAATCTGGATTTTGGAAGAACTTCATAGTGTGAATACCATGTATGATATTTTTATTATTTGTTTTTGTGCTCTTAGAAACATTCTGCCTGAACTATCTCCATCCCTCCAGGGCATGTATGGAGATAAGAAATTGTTTATTTGAATGATGTAGTGAATTGGAACCCAACACTATTGAGGGAACACTGGGATAATTTGTCCCTCAATTTTTGGGCTGTTTCAATTGAGCCGAATTAAGGTAGCCTGTGACTCTAAACTGGATACCAGACTGGGTCCCTCTTCTAGAACCCTGGTCTCTGTTTAGAGTTATTTGTGGTGGTTGAGTCTTGTTTGTAACGTCTTAGTATGTATGTTTGCCCTGTTTTCCTTACCTTTCACTGGTAGTCCAGTGGTGGGGCAATGTGGCCTGCAATTATTGGGTACAGACCATATTAAAAGTTCTCTCATGGTTTCAACACTCAGATAATTGGCTCTGCTGTCTGTGGTACACTGATTTTTTTAAAGAAAAGTGGGGGGACCAAAAGGGAGCTCATATAAGTGGTTTACACTTGATATTAGTGCAGACCACATTGCTCCCTTAACAAAGAGATCTTTTACTCTCCCTGCCAGCTCAAGAAGGACCCATTCACAGCAATAGTTGGAGCTTTATGCCAAGGTAGAGGCACATATTGGATTTAAGCCAGGGCCCTAGGCAGCTGCCTTATAGGTTATCTGGTTCTGATTTCAAGAAACCTGCAAATTAAGTGAACTTAAATTGACAAATGGCTGAATATTAATTCAAAAGCAATATGCTGTTAAGTAATTGGTAGTTAGCAAATTCAGGATGCTGTAAGCTGCACACATGCATACCAAGAACATACTATGAACAAATAAATATAATTTTTCGAAACATTTTTTAATCCACAATTTAAGTAATCATGACATAATTTCCACCTTTCATGATATGAAAGACTGATTTAGCTGATAAAATATGAAGTTTTTCCATATTTACTTTTTGTACAAAGGTAGTACGACCAGCAAACAACTCGTGTCTGATTAAAGGCAGTCTCTTTGCAATGCTTAAGGTGTCTGTAGTACCCTGGCGCTGTCCCTTTTTCACTCTTAAAATATATTCAAATGGTTTAACACTGTATGAGGGTCCTCGGATGCCCACTGCCCAGCTCCTCTGGTGCTCAGGCACAAACATTCACATTAGGCCAAGCATCAATGGTTGTCAGTGGCATGGTTTGAGCAACAGCTGACGGCTCACAGACTGTCACAGACACCCATTGCTGGCATGGCTAAGTGTAACTACAGTGTAGCAACACTGTAACCATCATCCAAGCAAGGGCCATGCAGCGGGCCTCTCATTAAATGTTAAACTATTCAAACATGGTTGAACATTTAACACAGGAATGGCGCCACGGGGCTGCAAGCACTATAATTAATACAATGTTTAAATTTTTACAGTGCCTAGAGTGTTTCTTAAAAGAAAAACTTCATATTTTAACTTCTTAACAACTCTTCATATGATGACACATTCCCATATCTGTGGACCGTTTATCATTTGCAGGGAATCCACTTGTGACGAAATTAACAGGAAGAATTCCTTTCTGATTTAGTAAAATCGTTTTCTCTCTGATATCTTAGGAATACCATTGCTTTGGACAGAATCTTGTTTCTCCAACATCTAAAAAAACAAACCGAATATTAATAATATTATACATTAATTATGTTTTCTTTAATTATTTTTGCATTTTTATCAGTTCAATTTTGCTTGATGTAGGTGTATTTTACAGGTGATACTGATTAGAATATCGTGCAAAAGTTCATTTATTTCAGTAATGCAACGTAAAAGGGGAAACTGATATATGAGATAGATGCATTACATGCAAAGCAAGATAGTTCAAGCCGTGATTTGTCATAAGTGCGATGATTATGGCTCACAGCTCATGAAAACCCAAAATCCACAATCTCAGTAAATTAGAATATTACATGTAATCAATAAAACAAGGTGTATACATAGAACAATATCGGACCTCTGAAAAGTATATGCATGCATATGGACTCAGTACTTGGTTTGGGCCCCTTTTGCAGCAATTACTGCCTCAATGCGGCGTGGCATGGAAGCTATCAGCCTGTGGCACTGCTGAGGTGTTATGGAAGACCAGGATGCTTCAATAGTGGCCTTCAGCTCTTCTGCATTGTTCGGTCTCATGTCTCATCTTTCTCTTGGCAATACCCCATAGATTCTCTATGGGCTTCAGGTCAGGCGAGTTTGCTGGCCAATCAAGCACAGTAATCCCATGGTCATTGAACCAGGCTTTGGTGCTTTTGGCGGTGTGAGCAGGTGCCAAGTCCTGCTGGAAAATGAAGTCAGCATCCCCATTAAGCTCGTCTGCGGAAGGAAGCACAAAGTGCTCCAAAATCTCCTGGTAGACAGCGGCGTTGACCCTGGACTTAATGAAGCACAGTGGACCAACACCAGCAGATAACATGGCTCCCCAAATCAACACAGACTGTGGAAACTTCACACTGGACTTCAAGCATCTTGCAGTGTGTGCCTCTCCATTCTTCCTCCTGGCTCTGGGTCCTTGGTTTCCAAATGAGAAACATAGAAACATAGAAACATAGAATGTGACGGCAGATAAGAACCATTCGGCCCATCTAGTCTGCCCAATTTTCTAAAAACTTTCATTAGTCCCTAGCCTTATCTTATAGATAGGATAGCCTTATGCCTATCCCATGCATGCTTAAACTCCTTTACTGTGTTAACCTCTACCACTTCAGCTGGAAGGCTATTCCATGCATCCACTACCCTCTCAGTAAAGTAATACTTCCTGATATTATTTTTAAACCTTTGTCCCTCTAATTTAAGACTATGTCCTCTTGTTGTGGTAGTTTTTCTTCTTTTAAATATAGTCTCCTCCTTTACTGTGTTGATTCCCTTTATATATTTAAATGTTTCTATCATATCCCCCCTGTCTCGTCTTTCCTCCAAGCTATACATGTTAAGATCCTTTAACCTTTCCTGGTAAGTTTTATCCCGCAATCCATGAACCAGTTTAGTAGCCCTTCTCTGAACCCTCTCTAAGGTATCAATATCCTTCTGAAGATACGGTCTCCAGTACTGTGTACAATACTCCAAGTGAGGTCTCACCAGTGTTCTGTACAATGGCATGAGCACTTCCCTCTTTCTACTGCTAATACCTCTCCCTATACAACCAAGCATTCTGCTAGCATTTCCTGCTGCTCTATTACATTGTCTGCCAACCTTTAAGTCATCAGAAATAATCACCCCTAAATCCCTTTCCTCATATGTTGAGGTTAGGACTCTATCAAATATTCTGTACTCTGCCCTTGGGTTTTTACGTCCAAGATGCATTATCTTGCACTTATCCACATTAAATGTCAGTTGCCACAATTCTGACCATTTTTCTAGTTTACCTAAATCATTTGTCATTTGGCTTATCCCTCCTGGAACATCAACCCTGTTACATATCTTAGTATCATCAGCAAAAAGACATACCTTACCATCAAGACCTTCTGCAATATCACTAATAAAAATATTAAAGAGAATGGGTCCAAGTACAGATCCCTGAGGTACCCCACTGGTGACAAGTCCAAGCTTCGAATATATTCCATTAACTACAACCCTCTGTTGCCTGTCACTGCCTTACCCATTCAACAATATTTGAATCCAAACTTAAAGATTGCAGTTTATTGATAAGCCTTCTATGTGCAACAGTGTCAAAAGTTGAGATGCAAAAGTTGACCAGGTCTGTTTTTCTTTAGCCCAGGTAAGACATTTCTGACGTTGTTTGTTGTTCAAGAGCGGCTTGACAAGAGAAACACAAGCATCTTGCAGTGTGTGCCTCTCCATTCTTCCTCCAGGCTCTGGGTCCTCGGTTTCCAAATGAGATGCAAAAGTTGACCAGGTCTGTTTTTCTTTAGCCCAGGTAAGACATTTCTGACGTTGTTTGTTGTTCAAGAGCGGCTTGACAAGAGAAAAACAACATCTGATGCTCATGTCCAGGATCTGTCTGTGTGTGGTGGCTCTTGATGCACTGACTCCAGCCTCAGTCCACTCCTTGTGAAAGTCCCCAACACTTTTGAATGGCCTTTTCCTGACAATCCTCTCCAGGCTGCGGTCATCCCTGCTGCTTGTGCACTCTTTTCTTCCATACTTTTCCCTTCCACATAACTTTCTATTAATGTGCTTTGATACAGCACTTTGGGAACATCCAACTTCCTTCGCAATTACCTTTTGAGGCTTTCCCTCCTTATGGAGGTTGTCAATCAGGGGCGGGCTGGGCCGGGGGGCAGGGAGGCAACTGCCCCCCAGGCCACCCTAAATTATTTTAAGAACGGCCGCTGCAGGGCCGGCCCTTTAAATGCTGCAGCCGGCCCTTTAAATGCTGCAGCCGCCTGTGCGCTCTGTTAAGAGCCTCTGGCGGCTGCAGCACAGCTTCTCGCCTCCCCTGTCGCATGGCCGAGTTCCTCTCCGGTCCTCGGTGCCCAGCTGGAGTGATAGGAAGGTGCACACTCAGTCACTCAGTGTGCACTTCCTGTCAGTCCAGCCGGGTACAGGAAACAGAAGAAAAAGGGGGAGTAAGAAGAAGAGAGGGGAGTAAGAAGAAGAGGGGGTAAGAAGAAGAAGGGGGAGTAAGAAGAAGGGGGAGTAAGAAGAAGAGGGGGAAGTAAGAAAGAAGAGAGCAAGAAAAGAGAGAAGAAGAGAGGAGAAGTAACAAGAAGAGGTAAGAAAAGAAGAGGAGGGTAGAAAAGAAGAGTAAAGAAAGAAGAAGATAGAAAGAAGAGCAGTAAGAAGAAGGGAGTAATATAAGAAGAAGGGGGGAATAAGAAGAAGGGGAGCAATAAGAAGGGAAGTAAGAAAGAGTGGGGAGTAAAAAGAGAAGGGGGGGTAAGAAAGAATAGAAGAAAGAAGGGGTAAGAAAGAAGAAGGGGAGTAAGAAGAAGAAGTAGGGAGTAAGAAGAGGGAGTAAAAAAGAGGGGTAGTAAGAAAAGAGGGTAGTAAGAAGAAGAAGAGTGAAGTAAGAAGAGAGGTAGAGAAGAGAAGAAGAAGGGGTGTAAGAAGAAGAAGTAAGAAGAAGAAGAGGGTAAGAAGAGTAAGAAGAGTAAAAAGAAGAGGGGTAAAAAGAAGAGTGGGGAGAAGAAAAAAGGGGGGATAAGAAGAAAGGGGGTAAGAAGAAGAGGGGGGAGTAAGAAGAAGTAGGAGGGAGTAAGAAGAAGTAGGAGGGGGTAAGAATAAGAAAGTCAGAGCCGTGAAGGAGCAGGTATGGCAAAGAGCTACTGATTAGCATAACATCAATATCCGTTATAAAACAAGGAAAAGGTGGGCATGGATGGTGGACTGATTTGGTGGTGCAATGGGCCACTTGACTGGTTTTGCCCCCCAGGCCTAAGGCTGCCAGCCCTCCCCTGGTGTCAATGATGGTTTTCTGCACAACTGTCAGGTAAGCAGTCTTCCACATGATTATGATTCCTTCTGAACCAGACAGAGACTATTTAAAGGCTCAGAAACCCTTTGCAGGTGTTATGGCTTACTTAGCTGATTAGAGTGGGACACTGTGAGCCTAGAATAGTGCACCTTTTCACAATATTCTAATTTACTGAGATTGGTGATTTGGGGTTTTCATGAGCTGTAAGCCATAATCATCGCACTTATGACAAATCACGGCTTGAACTATCTTGCTTTGCATGTAATGCGTCTATTTCATATATTAGTTTCCCCTTTTACATTGCATTACTGAAATAAATGAACTTTTGCACGATATTCTAATTTTTTGAGTATCACCTGCATACTATTTTTATTCTGATTTTGGCCTTTGCCATATTTCATGGATATTTTAAATACAGCAGCTTACTTGTTCCAGGACCTACTCACTTATAAACAAGTGACTTTATATTTTGTGATCCATTGTTGCATTTTCTTTTGGCTTTACTGGAAAGTACAGTATTATACAGTATCTATACTGTTATTAGCTAAATATCATTCCTCTGAAAATTACACCTTGTCTGTTACGTTGATTGTCTCTCCCATAAATCAAAATCCAACTTACTATTTTCATTTCCTTTCTGTGTAGGCTTGAGAGGTACTCCCTGTATTGATTATATTCCTTTAAAGTGCAAATAACCTAGACAAGAGAATTATTTTATTAATTTAATTTCATTTAGTTAACTAACAATATATATGCAATATTGTTTGATGATTTGTATTTTCTGTGTGAAACTAAAGTAACTTGATATATACAGATAGCAGCTTCCATTTAGGTTTGCCATATCCACAGGTTTTCCTGGACACATCACATACAAATTAATATTAGTCACAAACAAATAATAAGGTGGAGTATCTTACATACACAATAAAGATGGATCTTTACATAAGTATAATCCTGAAATAAAACATAGGAGAAAAAGTAAATATGGTGCAATATCGTTTGGTATTGTTTTGTGTATTGTCCACACAGTATTCTAATAGATATAAACTCACAAGTAAGGAGCCACTATATGTAAGGCTCAAAAGTTTCGCCTTGTGGGATTTTTGGGGTCCCACTCCCTCCTCTGTGTGACTTACCAGCACAGACTGTAAGGTCTCTTTTATATTTATTATTCTTTTATCTTTCATTGTGCACTTTATGGAATAAAGCACTTTAAATACTTCATTTGCATTCCTGAGATTATATTCCAAGAGGATCCTGTCACACAGAGGAGGGAGTAGGGCCTCATATATCCCACAACGCGAAACTCTTGAGCCTTACATATAGTGGCTCCTTACTTGTGAGTTTATATCTATTAGAATACTGTGTGGACAATACACAAAACAATACCAAACGATATTGCACCATATTTGCTTTTTCTTCTATGTTTTATTTTAGGATTATACCTGTGTAAAGATCCATCTTTATTGTGTATATAAGATACTCCACCTTATTATTTGTTTGTGATTTCTAATGTTGGTGAAGGTTAAGGGGACTCCACCGAGGCGTTAGAGTATCTTACTATTTGCACTAAGCTCGTACTCGATACCTGTTATTTGTATATTAATATTAGTATTTAATATTAACATTAGTATTCTTTGGCTGAGAGATAGTTTGACAAACTACTTTCAGAGAGAGCCCAGGGACACCTGGAACCATATCCACTACAGCACTCTTTAGCAGTTCTGAAGCTTAGTCTGCCCCTTTAGGCAAAGATAAGTATCTTTCCTGTACTTCAGAGTGATCATGGGCACCATATTTAGAGAATTCTTATGGAACACTAAGTAGTTCCAAAACATATTTTATTATCAAACTAAAATATAGGGCTATTATAAACAAATCTCAACAAGGTGACCTAACCTCCAAAGTGCCAATATCTTTGAGAATAGTGGTAATGTAAGGAAGAGTTGGTAAGTTGTGTTTTGGGGTGTTTTCCAGACCTCGTAAAAATGTATGTTTTTTTCTACTTAGAGTTAATTGAGTTAGTCCATTGTCTTTGTTAATTATATCACAGACAGAGGGGAGGGATTGCGTACACTGTATGGGAGTGACTGAATGTAAAACTATGTTTTTATTGGCTTGTTGTTGCTGTGTCCCTGTGCCCCACAAGGTTCACCTGGGTGGTAACCTTGTGGGGAAAACTGTATAAAAGACCAAGCTATTCAATAAACCCTCAGATCTGCTGAGTTCCTGTTTTACCCTCAACATAGAGCCTCATCTCATGTGTGGAGGAAAAGGCTGCATCTACCCTGGGGATTGCTATATCACTATACTCCCCAGGGATTATAATTACTAAGCTTGTTCCTGCTACTCTCTCTTGGAGGAGAGGTTCACCTACTGGAACCTGGATCCTTGTCGTAGGTCCAGGGTGGGTAGAGAACGGCGAGTTCCCAGCCAAGCTGTAACGCTGGATGTGGGGACTACCATGCTGATGGTGTCTGATGGAGTGCTTGGAGTCCTCAATGAGCACTAGGAGCATCTGTCGGCAGAGGTACCCAACAGGGGTACAGGAAGCTCCGTTACATTGGTGTCAGCGGTTGGATGGCTGTCTAGTGCGAGGAGAAGCAGCTCAGAGACACCGGTAATGTTATGGATCTATAATTGAGGGCAACACTTGTCCCCATACAGTGCCCCTGTCTACAGAGGTACTCGGGAGAATGGAGCGAGCTAGCACCCGTGCAGCGTCCCAATGTGAGGAGAAGTTTCTCTGGAGGTTACAGCAACACTTGGCCCAACAGGATGGGCCTGTATCAGAGGAAGGCATACTGGACTGGAGAGATGCCACTCGAAAGGAGCTGTGGTATGAGGCCTTAGAGGGTGTGCAGTGGAGGCAGAGCGAGAGTCTTCCAAGGAAAGAACAGTGGTTCCAGGTATACGTTGCCCTTCGGTTACCTTTCCTAGGAGAGCAACCCCTGGATGAGTGGGTGACGGAACTGTGGAACCTGATTTGGAAGGAGTTGAGGCTGGACAACACTTACCGGGCACTAAAGTGGTACGCCACCCGGCACAACCACTGGATGGCTGACAACGATATGCCGGAAGGTGAGGACAATAATGGCCGGGCTTACTGTGGGAGGCCTTTGAGGAGGGCAATGACTTTGGATGTCCAGCAGAGTGTCGGCTCTGGGACATCCATGACATCAGGGAAGCCCTACTGTATCTCCTCCGAGTGGACGACCTGGGGTCAGACCTGATTCATCTGTTCAGAATGGAGTGGGAACTGGAGCAGGACTACCAACGCCTGTTTCGCTCAATTCAGTCCCATTCTACCTGGCAGGCAGAGACGGAGAGCTGGGTGGCAGATCCAGACCTACAACCCTTCAGCTGGGAGGACTTCATAGACCGGTCCTGGGACTACCTACAGGTGGCAGGTGGAGATGGGACTGAGGTCTCTCTACCGGCCCTACAGGGATGCTGGACAGACAGCCCAGATCCCCAGCTACAGCTGAGTTACCGGGAGTAGAGACCGTCGGTTCTACTCCCCAGCAGCAGTTTCCATTGCAGGGAGAGGAGAGCATCGTCCTCCCTCCCCAGTGGCAGTGTAACTTACAGGGAGTGGAGACAAACTGTCTCCCTCCCCAGCAGCAGACAGAATCACAGGGAGAGGAGAGCATCGCCCTCCCTCCCCAGCGGCAGTGTACCCTCCAGGGAGAAGAGACAACCAGTCGCTCTCCCCAGCGGCAGACCGAGTCACAGGGAGAGGAGAGCAGCTTCCTCCCTCCCCAGCGGCAGGGTGTGTGTCAGAGAGAGGAGACAACTGGTCTCTCTCTCCAACAGCAGCAGCAGCTACCGGGAGAGGAGACACCTGGTCCTTCTTCCCAACCACAGGGGAACAGCACCCCTAACCCCGATGGTGCAGATGGGACTGCGGTCTCTGCACCAGACCTACAGGGATGCTGGATGGCTCATCCAGATCCCCAACCAACCCTGCAGGAATGCCAGGAGGAGGAGGTACGCAATCCCTCCTTTTCACAGCAGATCCGCAACCAGGTCTTGGGGTTAGTATTCACTGACCCTATCCCAGCAGAAGAGCTGGCATCAGGGCAGAGTGCAGTTGGCCTCTGCCCTACTTGCCCCCTTTTAACAGGGCAGATCTACGTACTAGTCCCCCCAGCAGAAGCGCTGGCAACCGGGCAGAGCGCAGTTGGCCTCTATCCTCCCCTTGTTCTGGATCCTGGAACTGCCATCCCTCTCAATTACCCAGCTGTAACGCTGGCTGCAGGGCAGAGTACCGCTGGTCTCTGTCCACAAAGTAACCCCAACTACCAGACGGAGAGCAACCAGGAAGCCAGGAGTACCAGTCTCTACTTGTGGAGGGGCTACTCGACTAACTTAGGCACTGACCGACAGAAGGTCAGGTACCTGGTTAGTCTTCCCTTAGGGAGGGTGAGATGTTTCAAAAATGACCTTAGCCACTGGTTTTTGGAGGGGACTGTTTGCCAGCCTCCTGCCCTGTGACTATGGCCCCTGTGATAAACCTGGCTAAAATACTTTAAACAGGCTCTGTTCATGTGAGTTATGTACTTTTGTACTCCAGACAGAGAGACCGACCATTAGCCCTGATTCTATGGAACTGTTTGGGCATGGGGCCATGCTTGCGGTCGGTCAAAATTATGACTTCCAGGAAATTCCCAATCCCTGAACCAATCTGGGTGATTTTTGGATATGTTGTTCACCCTGATGGGAGCTATCAGGGATGTGACCTTTATGGGGATATGCTTAGAGTTAAATGAGTTAGTCCATTGTCTTTGTTAATTATATCACAGGCAGAGAGTGTAATGTAAAAGTATGTTTTTATTGGCTTGTTGTTCCTGTGTCCCTGTTCCCCACAAGGTTAGCACCCAGGTGGACCTTGTGGCGCACAGGGACACAGGAAAACTGTATAAAAGACCAAGCTATTCAATAAACCCTCAGATCTGCCGAGTTCCTGTTTTACCCTCAACATAGAGCCTCATCTCATGTGGGGAGGAAAAGGCTGCATCTACCCTGAGGATTGCTATATCACTATACTCCTCAGGGATTATAATCACTAAGCTTTTTTAAGAGCTTGTTCCTGCTACTCTCTCTTGGAGGAGAGGTTCACCCACTGGAACCTGGAGCCTTGTCGTAGGTCCAGGGTGGGTAGAGGACAGCGAGTTCCCGGCCAAGCTGTAAAGCTGAATTTGGAGACTGCGGTGCTAATGGTGTCTGGTGGAGTGCTTGGAGTCCTCGGTGAGCACTAGGAGCATCCGTCGGCAGAGGTGCCCAACCGGGGTACAGGAAGCTCCATTACAGATACATTAGGTATTTTGAGAAGGAAATATAACTTGTTTTCCACAATTTCACTTTATGTTAGTGTAAAATTAAAGGATAGTTAGTGTCTTGTTTTTGTTTTTTTCATATACCTACCTGGTCATCACTGGTGATAAATCCACCATCAAATAGCCGTTGTTTGATCTTCTTACGGTTGTAATATTGCTTTAAGTGTGGGTCATGTAAGTTATTGTAGGTTGTCTTCATCAAATGGAGTTGTGGATCATCAAGGTCAAATGATGGACCCGTCTTATATAGCTGCAAAAAGATTACAACATAGAATTCTGTGTACTCATTCTGTAAACCTATTCTGAAGAGCATTCATTAGCATAAAGTAACCAATAAAACAACACAGTCCTGAATTAAAACGGCTCTGTTACCTCAAGTTACTTAATTAGTATTTCATAAAGATACAATTTTTATGAAATATGAATGTTAACTATGATGGAATATATTTGACTGAACACAATAAAAAAATATCATAACGCAAACTAGGTTGTACTTTGTCTTAGGGTCAAAGTACTGGTTTTCTGTTATGTGGTAGACGAATTAAAGGAATACTCAAATCACCATAACAACTTCATCTAAATAATGTTGTTATTTTGCCAGGAGGCCCCGGGGGTGGGGAATTCTACCTTAAGAGGTTAAACTGTTCTCTAACAGTTTAACCCCAAAGTTTGCCTTCAGTCACGATCTGTCCCCCAGGTGGCATCTGGCTTCTGGTTCTTAATTACATGAATTGCTGAGTGTTCCCAGGCAATGACACAGCTGATTGGCTTAGAGCTGTTAGCTAATGCTCTAAGTGCTGTGGAGCTCGGTTATAGGAAGCTCTTGGTGCCGCAGATTGGCTTATAGCAGTCAGCTGATGCTCTAAGCCAAACAGTAGCTCCCGATTGATAAAAAAATAAAAACATGTACTTTTTTTTTTTTTTATCAATCGGGAGCTACGGTTTGGCTTAGAGCATCAGCTGACTGCTATAAGCCAATCTGCGGCACCGAGAACTTCCTATAAAAGAGATCCAGAAGCCAAATGTTACTTGGGGGACCTTAGATCAGCTCTGGAGGCAAACTTTTTGAGAACGGTTTAACCCCTTAAGGTAAGAGTGTGGTTGGGGGTCTTCTGGCACTATAACAACTTCAATTAGATTAAATTTTTATAGTGACTGGAGTGTCCTCTTAATAATGTGCAATAGAACCAATGATTGATGTGATGCTAATTTTCATATTCTTCTAATGCTTTCTAATAGATCACTTACACATAGAAACATAGAAATATAGAATGTGACGGCAGATAAGAACCAATTCGACCCATCTAGTCTGCCCAATTTTCTAAATACTTTCATTAGTCCCTAGCCTTATCTTATAGTTAGGATAGCCTTATGCTTAAACTCCTTTACTGTGTTACATGGTTTTACATTAAAAATACAAAGCTACTTATTAATCCATGGATGTCTATTAAATGTCTTAGAAATATATGCTTATTAATCTTGATTGGATTATGGTATTAAATAGTATATACCTTTTGTGAAAGCTTGGTGGTACAGAACTGGATGGGATGTTTAGGACACACTGGGAATTTGATTCCAGGAGGTAAATCTACCAGTTTCTCTACTGGTGGGGCTCTAATGACATCCACCTAAAAATATAGAAAATCTGTTAAAATAGATAGCAGTACAAATGATGATCACGTGAATATGAATAGAATGTATACATTGTTTGGCCTTTCGTTGGAGAATGACATCCACAACATTGTAAAAAAAAAATAAAGTATCAAGAAAACCTAAGACTGTAAAAAAAAAATCTCAGGTTTGCAGTCTATGCCTGTAAAATGGCCCTTTCTAATATGAATCAGAATATTGTATTCATTTGTAGAGTATACCTTTTCTGAGCGATCTATGGTACGCATCTGGATCCGATTTTTAAGATGTGCTGGGACTCTGATCCCAGAAGTTGTGTTTTTCTGTGTTGGGTTTGCTCTAATTAAATAGGCCTAAAATAGAAAATAATTTTATAAATATTGTATGCATACATATACATGTAAAGAAAACATACCTTATTTGACTATTCACCTGACAATGAACTATGTTAATTTGTTATAAACAATCTAAAAAACTAAAATAATAACAGTATGAATTGGAAGAAAATTACAAATGTAAATGTAAAAATCCTAGAATGCGGAAAATACATGATAATGGCCTTCTCACGTCACACTAAAAAGGTTATTCACAAAAGTTCATATTTGGAACCCTCATTAAGCTTTTAAAGAGAAAAATCCAGGTTGGAGTCAAAGCGTCATTTTATTCATGCATCAAGGATATATTTCCTTAAAACAAAAAATGAAAAAATAAAAATAGAACTTTGAATGTATTTATTTTTTGCATAACAACAGGTTCTGCAGGAATTTTGTTCCCCTAGAAGGTTCTTGTGAAATTCAGTTAAGCAAACACAATTGGCAGAAATAATAAAAAATTAGGAAACTGACTTTGATGCTCTTTAGGTATTGCTATAGAATACTAATTCTGGGAAAAGATTGAGTATTAGCATCAATTTGCTATTCTGCTACTTATTTATTTATTTTATGATTTTTAGGCATCAAATTATTTACAATAAATTACAAGTAATATGGCTCCTAATAATTACATTCACAGCTGCCATTTTGGAAGTGACATTTTGCTAGCCCCTTCAAGTATTGAGGGATCCAAATGAATATAAGTTTATTCCTAGTATTACATGTATATTTTGTTTATTATTGTTTAAATACAAGAAAGAGAAGAACAGTCATAACATGCTTTTAAGTTACACGATCATGTGAAATACCTATATAATCTTCCAACAGTATCTGACAGATTTGCATGTTCATTAAAACAGAACTTGGAATAGGTCAAATGGGTAGACGAGTACAGGGATTTAGTGAGAGGTAAAGCGTAAAAGGGTAAAAAAAGGAATAATGTATCCAGAAGTCCGACCATTTTGGGGATTTTTTTTTTATAGCAGAATATATTCCTGAGTTAATTCTGGTTGGTCTGCTGAATTAAATAGATGCAAATTTATTGATTACATATAATTTTTGTGGTATATATTTCCCCACAGTTCTCTCGAATTTGCGTTTATATTTTTAACCGTCCTCAGCATTACTGCTTTGATTTTGACAGTGACATATAATTATAAAATCCCAACTTACATCGCCATATATAATTTTCTGTCTTGAAAGAAGTTGCTCCTCTTTAGCTAACCTTCCTGCCATGGTTATGGAGTGCTAACTGGTTATGTAGGTGCTGAGCAGCAGATATATAACAGCAACTGCACAATGACAGAGCACAATGCTATGACCTCATCTGTTGTGCTGAGGTCACCGATGTTGAACAGAAACTGCCTTAAATCAGTTGTACCATAAAACTTTCATAGTCAAAATTTAAAATTTGTGTGCAATTCATGGGAATTTAGTGCTCACTTCCAACATTATCAGTAGATAGCTGCCATAAGCTGTCTCTATTAATAGCAGGTAAAGTTAATTGAAGTTGCTAATTAATGACTGGTTTCAGACCTTGTCACTATTTTTATCAGCTGTCTGCCAGTAATGTCTGATTCCAGTAACACCAACCACTTGCAGATTAATAACTCATTGGTAAAACACAGAAAACATATGCTGTGTTAGCTGTTACCCACCACAATTTGCCAGTAAAAACAGGCTTACCGTGAGCGTGCTTCATTCTGTGATTGGCCTTAGCAGGAAATAGCAACAATGTGTACAGTGTAATGTCATACAGCTAACATGTATTTTTTCCTATAGGATATAGGAGAGAATAAAGGGAGCTGGTAGCTTTATCTAAGCCAGGGGTAGGCAACCTACGGCACTAGTGCCATGCACGGCACTCGAGGTGTCTTTGCACGGCACTCAAGGCTGCTAGAGCCAAACGCACTCTGGCCTATCAGGAGTTCCAGTAAAACTTAAGATATCTGCTAATACGAAGAGGTGGTGAAGGACAATCCTCAATTTATGCATTGCAGCACTTCCTCCCAGAACTTGTGAATGGGGATCCACACTGTAGTAGAGCAGCCCTCGACAGCTATCGCAGCTCCTGGTCCCCACTGGAACCCACCCACACTGCTAGATATACAAAGAAATGCAGAATAACCCTCCCCTCATACAAATAATATGAACAGCCCACACACACACACACACAACACACAATGCCCACAAACGCAACACCACTAACAATCCACATACATTCACACAACCCCACATGCAGCCTCTCACATGCAATACCCCAAACAGCCCCCACACACTACCAAACACACAATGTGACATATCCATCCACACACAATTCCACTAGCAGTTGCCATACACAGCCCACATTCATATGTATCATACATGATACCATAAACTACTAATGAACATATACAATATAATAGCTCATATACGCACAAATACAACGATACAAAGCAATTACAGTAAAAATAACACAAGCAGAATACGGCAGCATACACACCTCAATTTAAAAAAATAGGACTGGCATGCTATGGGACATCACAATCCTATATTGGCACACTGCTGCTAAAAGGTTGCCTACCCCTGATCTAAGCAATAGGCGTTAATGGAAAACTATAGTTTTATAAATACAAAACTGTATTCCTAACACTATAGTGACCTCTGGCCCTTCCCTCTCTTAGAGGTAGATTGTGTTACTCCTCCGCCCATGTTAGCCAATAAGGGAGACCTAATTGCTTGCATTAGGCCTTCCCCATAGGAAAGCATTGCCGAATAAGGATGTCCAGCATGAGGATGTCCAGTATCGTTTCATGGAGTCAAACTCTGTGAAACAGCAGGAAGCACCTTTAGCGGCTGTCTGGTAAACATCCACTAGAGGCAGTCTTAACACAGCATTGTAAACATTGAAGTTTCTCTAAAACCGAAATGTTTTTTTTATTGCAGGGTTAAGGAAACAGGGACACTACACACAGACCACTTCAATGAGACCAAAGTGGTCTGGGTACCTGTAGTGATCCTTTCATCCCAAATTTTGGAGTTGGTAAAGAGCCGCTACTTGCTATCGCTAGTGATGGCCATTTTATCGAGTAATGGCTGGTCAATAAAGATTTGTGACAACAGTATATTGATGGTACTGCAGTATGAATAAAGGGTTTAAAACCCTTTAATTACTTACCTGATCCCAGAGCCAATGTCCCTCAGTACTGGGTCGCGCCTCCGCCTCCTCTGTCACTTGACGAGATGGCGCTAATGCTTATTAGGCCTCCTAATAGGAAAGCATTGAATCAATGCTTTCCTATTTGGAAAAAGCTGACGCTGGCTATTCTCGTGCAGGGTTTAAAGACGTCCAGCACCAGTTAGCAAACCAAAAGTCTGGTAACATTCCGGAAGCGTTTCTGTCTGGTAGACAGCCTGTGTGTGTGTGTGTGTGTGTGTGTGGAGGGGGCTCAGTCTGTGAGTGTGGGGGGCTCATTCTAGGTGTGGGGGGGGCTCAGTCTGCATGTGCATGGGTGTGGGGGGGGTCAGTCTGTATGTGGGGGTGAGGGGTTCAGTCTGTGTGTATGAGTCAGAGTGTGGGGGGTGGGTCAGTCTATGTGCATGGGTCAGTCTGTGTGTGTATGGGTCAGTCTGTGTGTGTATGAGTGTGGGGGATTCAGTCTGTGTGTGTGGGTCAGTCTGTGTGTATATATGGGTCAGTCTCTGTGTGTATGGGTGTGTGCTCCTATACATGAGCATGTGCTTACACTACAGCCCCTAGTTACACATAGTACACCATAAATAGACTCCTCTATACACACACACTTCACCACAGTCCCTTCTAAGTAAGGCACAGCGGTTGAACTACAGGGAGTGTTGGTGTTGTGGTTATATCGGGGCCCATCGAGTGTCCCGTGCAATTAGAGCCACCCAATGGGCATGTGTCTTCAGGGTAAAGTGTAAAATTAAGATAAATTAAGATATGAAAATCCTAAACGTACCAGGAGATAACTTGGAGAAAATACATATGAATTTATAAATGCTGGTTCTAAAATAGGTTATAAATGTTAAAAGTGTAGCAGCTAGAGAAAGTACATAAATGAAATACCATATAAAACACTAATTAACGGGAAATAATCCAACATTCAATGGAGATGTCCAGGAAAAGTGCTGCCCCTACTGAAATTTGGGGAACATCAACTAAATGTTGTAAAGTACAAAAAAATCAGAACAAAAAAAGCAGCGAAATTTGGATAAATCAGCTGCTGAAATGTCACATCTGGATGTAGCTCAAAGTCTTGGAGTTCAAAAAAGAGATGTCATGAAGATAAAATCCATATAAAGTCACAATTTTATAGCATGACAGGAGGCTTCATATTTGCTTAAATCTCTCTTTACTAGAACTCCACAGCAGCACATTAACATATAGATAAAAACCAATCACAAAAAAGTAAGGCCCCTCCCAACCAACTACTTCCTCTTTCTTTGCTGCTCCACATCAAGCACAGGTCAGAGTACCACTGCCTCCTGTTAAATGTGGGTGGCTGTGGGACACTTTTTGTTTATTAGTTGTATTTTATATGATTACTGCATTGTAGATGTTAAATTTGGGCTAGGTTGGGGGTTTGTTATAGTGTTTTATGGTGTTTGGGCTGATTTTGCTTTTATCTTGTCTTGAGGGCTTGGGGGTTCTGCTTCTGGCTTCCCCCCCTCCTCCCCCCTTTCCCTTTCACTCACTTGTGGTCACCGGGATGCTCCTCTGCGCGCCGCCGCGTACTCAAACCGCCGGGGCCGCAGAGTACGTCTCCGGCGGCCCCATGTGTTAACTCCCGCTCGTCAACACTGTTTCCGCTGAGCAGGAGCTTATTCCATCTGCTCTCTTCCTTCCACGATCCCAGCCACAAGTGCCCGTTTCACAGCTGCAGGCGGCGTGTGCGGAGGGGAGAGAGCGGGCCGGCCACATGGGAGCGGCGTCTCCCGGCCTCACCTCGTGTTCTCCTATAAACACGGAGGTGAGGCGTTCTGGCCGCCCACTTAGAGTTCTGTGTGGCATCCTGGGGCTGTGCTGGGCATAGGTCTGCCTGCTCACAGCCCCTTGCTCTGCTGTGATTACAGGATTCGTTGGTCTGTTGTTAGGCTCTACTGTTTTACACTCATTCTGTCCTGGGCCTTGCCTGTGGGGCCTAGGTTCTGGTAGGGGAAGACCCATCTAGGGATGCACTTTCCCTTTTATGTTTGCTTCTTTCTCTTGCCTACCTATATTTTCCCACCATTTTAGCTTGCTGTTAATATTGTTCTTAAAGATGTATCTCATTCATTTATCTCTATTGTAAGGCATATCTCATTCCTGAATAAATACATACAATAGATGGTAAATCACACTTCTGAATATGTCTGTAAAAAATATATATAACACACACAATAGTGTAATACAGTTTGTATGACTAGGCAGTGTAGAGTTTTCAAATGAGGTACTCACAAGCGTGGAGCCAATAATATGTGGCTCTCACTGTTGTCGCCTTGGGACGTTTTTAGAAGGATGTCCCTCTCCTGGCTGGATCACTGGTCTCACTTGGTTTTCCAAAGGTTCCAAGATGGATAGGTGTCCCCAGCGTTTCCCATAGGAATAAAGCCTTTCAATAGGAAGTATTTTGTGTGGCATACATAGCCAACAAATTTATTGAAAAAAATACTGATAAAAATACAATATAAAATAGTAAAAACTTTAAATTAAAAAATACAACACATAAAATACTATATAAAAGACTTATAGCTATAACTGCTATATAGAAGTTCAACCAAATGGTTAATAAATGTTCCGAGACGCGTTTCGCCCATGTCTGGGGCTTTTTCAATCGGTAAAAAAGTCAGTTCACCTCTCTGCCGGCTTTTTCTAAAGTTTCTCATTCCTGCATGCCCTGCTCCTGTGCTGACCTCTACAGTCTGTACCCACTCGTTCCTGCATGCCCTGCACCTGGATTGACCTATAGTCTGTGTAACTCTGCATGATGATTATATACACACACTGATTGGCCTGCTTTGATTGCTCTGTCTGTGCCCCTTGATTTGGCCTGCACTGTCTGTGCCATTACCTCTGCTCGCACAGGCTACCTGCTACTTACACAGGCTTGTGCCTACATGCACTGCCCTACTTGCCACTGCCACTATATGGGGTGCTGCCCCAATTATTCTGCTGGTGACACTTGTTCTCTGTGCTCCTAGGTGTCACATCGCCAACGACTCCCTGACTATGGAGCCGCCAACACAAGAGTAGAATT